GGGCAGCAGAAATTAAATTTCAGATATGACAGCAAGTGCCCACTGTATCTCTTGGGATAAGCTGAGTTGGAGAATGTGGCTGGAACTTCAGGTTGGGTGGGGGCTTCCTACTGCTTCCTACTGCCTCTTTAGATCTAGACCTTTGGGTCCACCTGTGCACATTTATCCCCTATTTGCTGATTCCAGGCCTGATCTAGCCAGAGAAGGAGAGTCTGATGGGTGCTGCCTTTTACACATGGTGGTTTTACCAGATCCCAAAAGTATAGCCTGATGAATGTCAATCTCAACCTTTGTCCTAGATGCTTCTCCTTACCTGGAGCCTGGTACACCTGTGCTGAAGAAACTTGGAATTTTTCTTCCAGTAGTCCTTGCTACTGGGGTAGAATGTGCACTTTTCTACTTTATAATCCCCTGTATGTCAAAATTATTATTTTGTTAAATTGAAGAATAACATCCAGAGCAGGAACATTATAAATGCATTGAATGAAAATTAATTTGCATGCAGTTACAAATTATGAACTAGAGGTTCTTTGCTATAAGGGAATACTCCATGGCAGAGCCCTCATGCAATGGGTTTAATTCAATTTATGTTCTCAGGAGCGAGTTGGCCCCTAAGGGAATACTCACCTATGTCTATTGTTCTGACCTAGTTGTATCTGTGCATTGGTATGCTACAAAAAGGGATCTCTTTGGAGCAAGAAGAACACTGAGCCTGTGAAATGCTTGGGTGAGAGAATTGGAGAAGGTTTAGAGAACTTCACACTCAGAAAAAAAACAAAAACAAAACAAAATGCAGAGTGTGAAAGTCCAAGGGCTTCTATGCATGTTATTAGACATGTGCATGCAGCTTGGAGTCTTGAGGCTGGACCCAGACAGCTCTCTGCCTTGCAGATGCTCTGCCTGAGTTTGCTGCCATCCTTTTCCTTTCTGCTTTGCTGTGGTTACATTCAGACAACAAATGGGGTCTGTGCACATTAGGGGCAGTGGGTGAGGGAGGAGGCTGTGTCTCCTGCCATAGAGCAGGCAGCGGAAACTTAGGTGAAAAAAGGAAAGAAGTCTGTATCCTTGAGCCCGGCCACACGATAGAAAATGGAGACTGGCTTGAGCTGACCGCTCCCTGTCAGACTCCTTCAGGTGTTACTGACACAATGCAGGGGTTCAGTTGCTTGGCAGGTATCAACCCAATGACCACAACCAAGGAGGATTTAGCAATGAGATTTAAGTAAGGAGAACACCAGGGATGGTTCCCAAAGTAGTGCCTCCGAGCTGGGGACTGGGTTAGGTTTTATCAACATCCTGTAATGAGGATCTGATTGACTGGATCCTGCCCTGGGTGATGCCAGAGTTCAATGCAATTGGATCCTGGATCCTGCCATGTAGCGTCCGCTTCTTAATTCAGTCCCCGCTCCTCAGTCCGAGCACTCCGGTTCCCGCTGTGGTTGGATACTGGTTCATCTGGGCATGCTCGGGTTATGTAACCTGAGGGTCCATGGCAACTGAAAAAAACTCGCAAATTTCTTACGTAAAAGTTGAACCAGATGGGCCGGGTGCGGCTAACATAGACAGCAGACACCACTCCACCTGCCCAGCCCCTCAACCTCCACATGCGGAGTCTCACTCCTCTCCTCCCTGTCTGAGCCAGGCATTAACACAGACACAGCCTCGCCTAGCCCCACGTCACTCAGCTCCCGGGACTTTCCCCGGGCTCCTCTCGCATCCTTCACCAGCTGTCTCCAATTGCGTGCCTGGCTGCTGTATGTGGCAGAAGGACCCAGGCTGTGTCCAGACCCTTTCTCTTCTCAGTCTATGCTCACATGCTAGGTAATCTTATCCAGATTCATTTGCAACCTAAAAATTCCAATTACTTCCTGACAACTTCCAAATTTCCTTCTCCAGCCAATACCTCCCCTGACCTTCATGCTCATGTGTTCAGTTGCATTCCCTCTCAGATGTTTAACAGGCCCCTCAACTCTACTCATGCAAAAAAAAAAAAAAAAACCTCTTCATCTTTCCATGTAATTTTTCCCTCCCCTGGTGTTCTTTCCCTCAGATGCCAGGGACAACAACGCTGGCATACTTGTTTAGTCTGTCTTTCTTTTTTTTTCAGTTAGAAAACTCTCCCTTCTACCTTCCAAATGTTTCCATGATCTGGCCATGTTCCACTCCCTCCACCAGCACCTTTCTGATCCGAACCAGCTCTCCCTTCCTCCTCCCCTTGCCTCGATCCCTAATGCAGTAGCCAGAGTGATCCTTCCAAAACATCATCAGACGGTGTTACTCCTTTGCTGAGAGTGCCCAGTGTCTTCCAGTCTTATTTGGAACTAATGTCTGATGTCTAAGGGAAGCCACTGCTAGGTCCTGCTGTCTGGGGGGCACATCCCTCCCTCTGCCCTCCCAGGCACTCTCTTCTCCACTTCACTGGCTCCTTTGCACCCAGCTCAGAGCCTTTGCACCTGCTGCTCCCTCACCTGCAGTGTGCTTCCCTAATGATGCTAAGAAGTCCTTTGTCTTGCACCTCCAGCACGGCCCCAACCCCACCTTATTTTCCTCCAGGTCACCTGTGACATGCTGACCAGTTTGCCCCTATGGCTGTCTGCGGGTAGTGTTCCTGCACTGGAGTGTGAACCTCATGGAGGCAGGAGTTTTGTCTCCTGTGTTCACAACTCTCAGTCCAGCACCTATCTTGGGCCTGGCACTTGGCAGGTGCTCCATAAGTATTTTTTGAATGAATGAATGAATAGTCCTATAAGATTTCTGTTCAAGTTCCACTCCCAAATCGCTTGGGAATAAAAGAAACTTATAAAATGAATGACAATAATAGATGAATTGGAGTCAAGAAGTTGCAGGCTTTGTAATAATCTATTGACTGGTTTAGTTCCCCCCACAGTGAGATTTTGAGGTTTGGTTGAGGTGGTGGTGACAGTGGCACGAGTGCTCTGATCATGGATTAATGTTCATCAGTTCCTGAGAAGTCTTCACCGCCACTAAATCTACCTCAGCTGTGCCGGGGGCTCCATCTCGGGGCGGCCTCCAGAGCTCAGCTCCCAACCTTGACTTTTCAGCAGTCTTCACATTTCCTTGGAACATATATTTGTTAGCTCCCTTTGGTCCCTTGAATGGTTCATAATTTTTCTTTGCAAAAGAAACTGACAGTGGTTTTGAAAAAAAATTTAAAGTTTTATTTTGACAGAAATATTACCTAAGTGTTGACCTACACATGATACCTTCCCATAATTGGTGCAACATGGAACTAGGCTTCCAATATCAGTAAGAATAGAGTGATATAAATAAAATGTGATGAAGCAAATAAATTCTGATGATGTAAACTAAAGTATTTATGGTAGAACAGCGGTATCTAGGGAAAGTGTATAGATTCATGTGTATGTTTATAGACATAGACGTTATATGTTTGTGGTATTTTTCAGGTTGTTTTAAATTTTAAATTACCTGTATTTGTCATTTAATTCCACATATGGTGTTTTGCATTTTGTCAATTAATAGGTATTATTCTAAAGATTTTCTTTTTTGGCAAAATGATTGGTCTTTTAAAAAACTGATTGTTTCCAGGAAGATACTGATAAGATGTCCATGAAATCTCAGAGGTGGGGGCTGGTGATACGGAGGATGGGGACCTACTTCTAGAGTCTTTCCAGATGTTCCCCAGAGTCTTAGGAGCCTCTCCACCTGCAGCGGGCAGAACAGGAGCCTCCCAGACTGCACTGCTGAACTTCAGAGCAGGGCAAATCCAGGTTTTATCCACCTCACATATGAATAGCCACATATGATTTCTTTTTAATCATTGTGTTAGTGGCTGTGAATTTTGAAAAGCCTAAATTTTCTTTAAAATTTTGTTATTTTCATATTTATTTTTAATAGTATATATTAAAAATGTACAACACAATGTTTAGATAAACACACAAAGTGACATGATTACTACAAACAAACGAGCATATCTGTCATCTCAGAGTTATCTTTGTGTGTCGTGCGTGTGTGTTAAGAGCACCTAAAATCTACTTTCTTAGCAAATTTCAGTATGTAATACAATATTGGCAACTATAATTCTCATGCTGTATATTGCTTCTCTAGATGTGCCCATTCTACATAACTGCAACTTTATACCCTTTGACCAACATCTTCATTCCTCCCACGTTCATTCCTGGTAACCACGACTCTATGCTTTGTTTCTATGGGTTTGACTTTTAAAAAGTTTGACTTTACATGTAAATGAGATTGTGCAGTAGTTTTCTTTTTGTGGCTGACTTACATCACTTAGCTTACTTCTGGGTTCATGCGTGTTGCTGCCAATGGCATAATTTCCTTCTTTTTATGGCTGAATAATATTTTATTGTATATAATGTCACATTTTCTCTATTCATTCATCTCTTTAGAAACATTTTGGCTGATTCTATATCTTGGCTTTTGTGAATAATGTAAATATCTCTTTGGGATGTAATTTCATTTCCTTTGGCTTTATACCCAGAAGTGGGATTTCTGGATCATATGGTAGTTCTATTTTTAATATTTTGAGAAATCTTCATACTGTTTTCCATAATGGCTGTAGCAATTTACATTTCCACCAACAGGGCACAAGGTTTCCCTTTCCTGCACACCCTCACCAACTCGTTATTTCTTGTGTTTTTGGTAACAGCCATCCTAACAGGTATGAGGTAATAGCTCACTGTGGTTGATTTGCATTTTCCTGATGATTAGTGAAGTTGAGCACCTTTTCTTTCACCTGTTTGCCATCTTTATGTCTTCTTTGGATAACGTCTGTTCAGCTTCTTTGGCCTTTTAAAAAATGGATTTATTTGTTTTTCTGCTATTGAATTGTGTGTGTTCCTAAGAACAGAGCTTCGGGAAGTTAAGAGTCAGGCCATTTGGTGGAGAATTGCATGTTCTCTTTTATATGTTCAAGAACATGCTGTCTTGCCTGGCTGGCTAGCAGCAGAGCCGGGAGTAAAATTTGGGCTTCTGTATTTCCACAGCCAAGGGCTCTTTCTCCTACTGTGGAATGCACAGAAGCAACTGACATGATTGTTTGTTCTCTGTGTTTCCTGAGACTAATGAGAATAAACTAAAATCTTACAAATAAGTATGTGTGTTTCTAACCTATATCATTGCTATGTTTTCTAGGAAATTGAAAAGATATGGTCCTTGCCCAATCAGCTAAATTGTGAAAGTCTTGGCAAGAATCTTTCTAGCACCTTGGAAAGCTTCAAGAACAGCTTGGAAAATGCCACTGACCAGGACTGCACATGCCAGCCGAGGCTGGAGACGGTGCAGCAGCACTTGCACATGTATGCTCTGATATTCTTTCATGCCCTCCCCAGTACTTCCATTCATAGAGAAGATGTCTAGCACTTTTAAAATGTGAATTTCAGACAGTAGTCTGTACAAATACTCTTAATGTACAGATTAATATGCATTCTCCAAACATCAAAGTTTTCCATGACAATTTTTGAGTGGTAAAATGTAACAGCAGCATTAATCAGAAGGCTAACTTTATTGGCGACCAAGATATTAGATAAAAGAATGTAATCCACAATGCTTGGTGGCAAATGCCTGTAATCCCATCTAATGGGAGGCTGATGTGGGAGAATTGCTTGAGGCTACGAATTTGAGACCAACCTGGGCAACATAGCAAGACCCTGTCTCTAAAAAGTAAAAGCAACAATAACAAAACAGTTAGCAGGATTTG